TGTGTGTGTGTGTGTGTGTGGGGGGGGTGGGGGTGGGGGTGGGGGGGGGTGTAATTCATTACTTGATATGGTTAAGTTGTTGTTAATATTTTATTAAATTATTTATTAAATAATAAAGGGACCCTTATGGTAATGTGTTACCAACACTACTGCCTCACATGTACTGCAAGTTTATACCATGAAGTTCACAGATAACACTGCAGTTATTGGTTTGATTTCCATCAACATGAGCTTCTGTACAGGAGCTTGCTGTCCTGCATGTTTTAGTTGTTTCCTAGCTCAACCTGATTCAAATGCTGAATTACCTGTCATCAAGCTTTGCAAAAGGCTGCTATTTACCTACTGATTGAAATGTGTGTTTTAGAAGAGAGCAAAACTCATGAATATTCAGGATGGTGGGCAAAATAAGCAACATGGCTCATATGACAGGACTATTCATGTTGGCTCTGGAGGGCTGGTATGCAGCACATTTTAGTTTTAACTCTGTTTCAACACACCTGATTTCAGGTAATTAACCGGCTTCTGCAGAGCCTGATGAGCTGCTGCACAGGTGATTCAACCACTAAATCTAGAGTGTTGGAGCAGTGAAACTACTAAAACTTGTTGGATACTGACCCTCCAGGACTGGAATTGAATACCCCAGGCTTATGAGAAGGCTGGAAACTGTCATAGACATTAACAATCTATGTGTCCAAAGTATGGCCAGGGGCCCTGTCTACGGCCCTCTGAATTATTTCAGGTAGCCCCTAAATTCCTTTATGGAATGATGGATTTTGTTTCTGCAGCAGGCTGTTGATGTAGAGTGATATTTATATTTTTATTGTCAGAGTTTTAATAACATTCCCATTGCTAACCTATTTTGAGGAGTACAAATAAAACAAAAATCACTATAAAATCATTTTTTCTAAAATAAAAACAAATAGGCAAGGCAAGGCAGCTTTATTTATAGAGCACATTTCAAACAAAGAGGCAATTCAATGTGCTTTAAAATTATCAGGACATGATATGAAAACAGCATAAAAACACAAATTAAAATACATACAAATGGAATTACAGTTTAGAGCTAAAGGAGAAGACAAAGTTACAGCGCAGATTACAGTGGAGACAACGCAGAAAGAGACAATTCATTTAAATACTGATGAGTACATTAGGGTTTTTAGTATTGTTTTAAACAACACTAGAGTTGGGGCACATCTGAGGTCCTGGGGAAGCTGATTCCATATGTGAGCAGCACAGTAGCTAAATACATCTTCACCCTGTTTGGTTCTGACCCGAGGTTCTACCAGCTGATTGTTTCCGAGGGATCTCAGAGCTCTATTGGGTGTTTATACAGGATGAAATCTGACATGTATTTTGGTCCCATGCCATTGAGTGATTTATAAACTAGTAGGAGTACTTTGAAATCTTTTCTGCAGTTTACTGGTAACCAGTGTAAAGATCTAAGAACAGTTAGAAAAAACCTGGTCTGGATCCTGCCAAATTCTCTAATCTCCGTCTAATCTCTAAGTTACCATTTTTATCTAAAGTACTTGAGAAAGTAGTGTACAAACAGTTACTTATACATCTTAATAACCATCAGGTAATGGACATGTTTCAGTCTGGGTTCAGAAAACAGCACGGCACTGAAACTGCTCTTGTTCGGGTGTTTAATGACATCTTTCTGGCATTAGATTCGGGGTTCCATGTGGTTATGGTGCTTCTGGATCTATCTGCAGCCTTCGATACGGTTGATCACAACATCTTGATCTCTACACTACGGACTTGGGCTGGCATCTCAGGTTCGGCCCTGGACTGGTTTAGGTCTTACTTCCATGACAGGTCCCTTAGGGTCATGCTGGATGATTATTCATCCGAAACACTCTCCCTTCCCTGGGGGGTTCCTCAAGGTTCCATCCTCGGCCCGTTGCTGTTCTGTATTTATATTCTGCCCTTGGGAGCTCTTCTCAAACAGCATGCAGTGTATTACCATCTATATGCAGATGATTGTCAAATTTATTTTTCACTGAAACCCCAAGACTCCACTAAACCTCTGTTCGATTGTCTTCACGAAGTCAAGCAATGGTTGGCTGACAACTTCCTACATCTTAACGACTCCAAAACAGAGGTAATCGTTTTTATTCCAACTAGTGTTAGAGCAGCCCAGCAACCAGACCTCAACTATCTGTCGCCTAATGTCACTTCTGTTGTTTCCAACCTTGGAATAAGAATAGATTCTGCTCTGAAGATGGATGCTCAGGTCAATAGCATGGTCAGGTCCTGCTTTTACCATCTTAGACGTATTTCAAAATTAAAGTCCATCCTGAGTGTTCGTCTTCTACAGTCTGTGATTCACGCATTCATCACTTCTCGGTTGGATTATTCAAACTCCTGTTTGTACGGTAGCAGTGAGGCGGCTTTGTCTAGGCTTCAGCTTGCTCAGAATTCTGCAGCAAGGTTCTTGACTGGAGCTGAAAGAAGACACCACATCTCACCTATTCTTAAAACGCTTCACTGGTTGCCCGTTAAATTCAGGATCAATTATAAAATTTTACTTCTCACGTTCAAATCCTTAAACGGTCAAGCTCCTCCCTATCTGTGTGATCTCCTTCATTACTATCACCCTCCTAGAGCTCTTAGGTCTGAAGATCAACTCCTCTTAACTGTCCCTAAGGCACGTTTGAAGACTCGTGGGGAAAGGGATTTTTCAGTCTGTGCCCCAAAGTTATGGAACTCATTACCACTGCAGGTTAGACAAGCTTCCTCTATCGCCGTCTTTAAATCTCGTCTGAAGACCCTCTACTTCACTTACGCATTCGATCCCTAATTCCATAACTCCTTAGCTCATCCATTGTCCCTCCTAGGCAACTCAATTTTAATTTTGTTTTTTTATATTCTGGTTTTATTTGCTTTTACTGTTAATAGTCTGTTGTTTTATTTCTTTGCTCCTTTTTACATTTTCCATCTACCTGACTATTTTAACTTGTGTTTTCTTGCTTGTTTTTTGTGCAGCACTTTGTATGGTTGTAATGCCATGTTGAAAGCACTATATAAATAAAGTGGTATGGTATGGTATGGTAGTTGAGATGTTCTCCATTCTCTTAATTCTTGTTAAGACTCTAGCAGCAGCATTCTGAACAAGCTGTAGTTGCTTCACAGGTTTTTTGGAAAGACCAGTGAGGAGACCATAGCAGTATTTCAGCTGACTAGAAATAAAAGCATGAATGAGTTTCTCTAAGTCTGGTCCAGACATGAGACCTCTGACTCTCTTGATATTTGATGAAGGTGATAAAACGCTGATTCTTCCGGCTCTTGGAGAGTACAGACGCTTTTTCCCTCCTCTCCTCCCTATCTTATCCCAAGGCTCTTTGTCTGTCTTTGAGTGTACAGAGCTTCTGCATTTTTTCTGGAAACTTGAAATTATTAAAAATGGACCTGGTCAGTTGGTCTCTCAACGCAATTGACAAAATTTTTTCAACAATGAGAATGGGAGAAAGGGCTCCCAGATGCCCCTCTGGGACAGAGCCAGCTGGGCATGTCATGGACTCCTGGAAACGGTGGAACCTGATCAACTGTCTGTAGAGGATTCTGAAGACGTCTGGATATTCGTGGTGTTGGTGTCAGGTTTCTTGCATTTTGGCCTGAGTGGTTGCCTGGCTTACCGGAAAATTAATGAGCTTTCGAGGAATACTGGCTCAATCCTGGAGCTCAGGGATGTATTACACCGCGCTGTGAACGCACAAACTCATATAATTGTCGAGATGAGTCGTAAGCTTGGAACTTTGGCTGAGATTCAGGCTCTGGCACAGAAGGTGGATTCAATCAAAGAGAGAGTTGACGGGACAGCACTTGGGAATAGATTAATTTACGCCATTATTGGATTTAGAGGGGTTGGAGACCAACAAAACTTTAAGACGGAGAGGAAATTATCTCCGTCTGGTCCCAAAACAAGTTCTTATCGCAATCTGGTGCCCATAAGCCTTTGAGGCTGAAACCAGTAGCCCCCTCAGAAGAAATGTGGAATGCTGCCGTCGCCATGGCAACTCTGTCTCCCTATCCCAGCCTGGGCGGGACTGCGACCGGTGAAGGCCGTTGAATCATTTCCAGGAGTCACTGTGCTTTCTAACCCAACTACCTCCCTCCCCTGTCCAAACGGAGGTGACGAGCGCTGCTCATCGCAGCTGCATGCACTGATGTGTGGAGAGTCCCCAACCCTACCTCCCCACCTAGTGGACACTTATGTTGTGTAATGTCTGAGGTCTGTTGCATTTCTGTCTGAGGTGTTTTTTGCATAGCAAAGCTGCCCTCCCTGTGGAGGGTAACTCTGAAGTGCCTTTTTTTCTCCACCTGACTCAATCCTCATATAAACCCTCTGATCTCTGTTAAGGTAGCGCGACTCGGGTTGCGAATGACCACAGTCACCAATTCTTGTCATGTGTCTATGTCTATGTATGTATGTCTGTCATGGTCTGTGTCTGCGTCTTTCCCCATGTGTCTCCTGAGGTTCTCCATCCCTCTTTAGATTCTCCTTTTGTGTCTTCTAGCACCCTCATGTGTCATGTCTGCGTCTCCCACATGTGTCTCCATTTTTTTGCAGCTCTCTAGATATCTCTCGCAGGTCCTGTGTTCCTTTGGTCTTCCCCAGTCACCCCTCTACAGTTTTTATAGTTTCAGCTGTTCATTCTATTAGTCTCTTTAGTATGTTTTTTCCCACTGGTCTCTGTAGTTCCTTCCCTTTAGAATTTTTGTTATATGGTTGCTTTTCTGTTTTTAGGTTCACTCTTAGGTCATGTTGGTTTCTTCCCTGATTAGTCACTGCTTTCACCAGGTCCTCCCCCCACACTCCACACACCTGCAGCTCATCTGCCTCCCATTATGCCCTAGTGTATTTAAGCCCTGTCTTGTCTCTGTGTCTTGTCGGTCCATTGTTGTTTGTCAGTGTTGTTTTTGGTGCTCTTTGTGAGCTTCCTGTCCTGTCCTGTCCCCAGCTTGTGCTCTAAGTAAACTCGTTCTCATTTTTCTGGATTTTTGGATTTTGTCTCCCTGCCTTTTGGATTTATTTTTCTTTCATCCTACAATAAAAGCATTTTACTTTATATCAACTCCTGCCTCGTGTCATCCTGGGTTACTGCATTTTGGGTCCAAACAATCCTCTCAACGTGACAATGTCTGATCTCAGAACTGTGTGTACTGAAACTCTAATTTCCCTCTGGGATTAATAAAGTATCTTTGAATTTAATTTGAATTAAAATGAATTGATTTAGTTATAGCCTTAATATGTCCAGAGAAGCTCAGGTCTGAGTCAATAATAGCACCAAGATTTCTAACCTGGGTCTTTGTCTTTATTCCCCTGGAGTCTAGCTGAGCAATAACATCCATCCTGACCTTCGTGTTGCCAAAGACAATAGCTTCAGTCTTGTCTTTGTTTAGCTGAATGAAGTTTGACTGCATCCAGTTATTTACTTGCTTTAGACACTGACAGAGTGAGTCCAGTGGACGCCAGTCACTAGGTGATAAGGTTAGGTAGATCTGGGTGTCATCAGCATAGCTATGATAGATGTTGTTTTTAAGTATGACCTGACCCAGGGGGAGCATGTAGAGATTAAAGAGTAGTGGTCCTAGAATTGAGCCTTGGGGGACCCCACGTGTCATGGTGATCCGGTTTGATTGGTAGTCCCTAATAGAGACAACGTAGCCCCTGTCTTTGAGATAGGGCTGGAACCAGCCAAGCACTGTGCCTGATAGTCCCACCCAGTTTGTGAGTCTGTCCAGAAGGATGTTATGGTCCACGGTATCAAAAGCTGCACTGAGGTCAATCATCATCAGGACAGGTGCTTTACCTGAATCAGTGTTGAGACGAATGCCTTTTAATACCTTGATCAGTGCAGTCTCTGTGCTGTGGTGCTGTCTAAAGCCTGACTGAAGACTGTCCATAAAGTTATTTGACTCTAAATAGTTGTCTGTTTTGTTCATTACCACCTTTTCAATGATTTTTTGAATCAGCGGGAGATTAGAGATCAGTCGGTAGTTGTTCAGCACTGAGGGATCTAATTTCCTCTTCTTCCACAAAGACTTGGCGATTCTGGCCCTCATGTAGAAATGTCTGGACAATCATGGGAACAAGGCTGACCAAAATGAGCTTAAATGACTATTTTTATCTGCTGAAATATTGACCATAACAACATCTCTGGAGGACATCTACATCAGCAGATGTAGAACAAGAGAAGAGCGCATCAACTCTTCACCCTTCTGCCTTCAGGCAGGCTATTGCGCAGACTCAAACCCTGCACAAGGATAATAAACAGGTTCTTTCCTGAGGCTGAGGCCTGCGAACTCTGACCCTAAAGCCGGGCGTACACTGTGCGACTTTTTCACTTTTTTGAGCCCATTTTCCACTCGTGCGAGAATCCACAAGATCGGGGCGAGTTTTGCGCCTAGCGTGGTGTAGTGTACAGGGGGTTAAGAGAGGCGATTAACACCACGTGACCAGCTACCGATCAGCAGTCGTGAGCTCGCACGGACTTCTGGCATGTTTAATATTTCGTTCGTCCCTCGTGAGGGTATCGCACTGTTGAAGCGGCGCTGCGAGCAGCTGCGACCCAAAAAGTATCAGAACCGCTCACGGCGCATGCGCAATCCTGCATCAACGCCGCTCGCCCGCTATTTCCCTAATAACACACGTTGTTCGTTTTTATTTCTACACGTTTTTTTTTTACTCACAAGGATTGTCAAGAAAGCGTGTTTGTCGTGTTCATGTCAAATTAAACTGATCACAAAACACAGATTTACTTTCTTTATTTCGTTTTCCTCATCCAACCCCCATAAACCCCTGTGTGTCCCCCTGCAGCACTCCCGAAGGACAACAGGCAAGACAAGACAAAAAAGTCTGACGTGTTGAGTAAAAACTGCTATTTTTAGCATATTTTTAGGTCTGACGTGTTGCTACCAGACGTACAGTGTGAGCAGTCAGGTCGCATCCGAGAACTGGGTCGTACAGTGTGAGCGCATGACTCGTGAGATCTGCTCTGCGAGGAAGTCGTACAGTTTGAGCTGAAGCTGAGTGCTACGAGTGAAAAAGTCACACAGTGTACGCCCGGCTTTAAGCTGTTCTCTGCTCTTTTTTCTCTATATATGTTCATTAATGGCTGTTATTTTAACTCCTGTATTTACTTATACTTCCCATGTCTTTAACTTGCTGTTGAAAACCAATAAAAGAATCTTCAAGGTCAACGTTACTCATGTTTTAACACACTTGCAGTGGTCTCTAGTAGGGATAAATGCCTTTGTAAGTCGTACCTTGGGGAACAAATGCTCCAGTTTGAAGATGGATAATTCAGCTGGAGGAGAAAGTAGCTTGGGACGATCCTGGAGTCTTATTTCCTGAAACTTGGACATCTTGTATTAGATAGGCCAACACCAACATTACTCTACTACGGACCTGTTTGCTCTGCAACATTTACGTTTTATCTCCACAAATAACACAAGCCTAGAGGAGTTCTGCTGTGTGGTGGAGTTGCTAATACTAAAAATTAGTTTCAACTAGTCAAGACGTTCTCTGCTGTCTCCTGGATGCTAAACCAATGGTCTTACTTGCCGTGAGTCAAGATGAGTCCATGAGTGTTAAGTGACAGTGTGATATAAGTCTGTCAGGCTTTTCAAGTCCTAGAGTTTCACCCTGTTTCACCCTTTTTGCCTATTTTCTATCAGAAGCTAATGCAGGAGATAGGTGTAGAAGACTGTTTTCATGTTCAACCTGCATGAAAAACTGAGTGACTGATGTTAATCATAAATAATCACTTAAAATTTGTTTTTCATTGAAGTTGACCTTTAATTTTACATATTATAATATAAATACTGTGCACACAAACCTTTTAAAAACAACTTTATTTTATATTTTTGTATACATTATATGCTTCAGCTTTGTTTGGGTCCCTAATGTGAACATTGTTCCAAATGTACACAATTTTCTGCTCACCAAATACCTTAGCAGACAAACATCTATTTTCATTGCAGTTCTAAAATGTATTTGTACTTTTTTCCCATTTTTGATCAAACTCGGTCAAAATGAACACTTACTCTAGTCTAAAATGTGTCTATGCTATTTAGAAGTAAAAGATCTAATTAATCAGTTGAATGCCACTAGTAGTCCCTTGCTGTATTTGGACTGAAGTCATAAAACAAACTGCAGTGATGTTTGGTTGAGAAGCTCCAGCAGGAAAATGAACATTTAAAACAAAATATTAAAAATTGGTGAATAGTTTCCATTTTAACTTTTTCACACGTTCATCCTGCAGGATCAATAATATTCACTAATGTCAAAACAACATATTCATGTCACTGCGAATCACCCTAAATATTCAGGTTTAGATCAGATTTACTGCCCGTTTCAGTTATTTATAAGCTTTCTGACAGCTCAGCTGTTTGCAGGGCAGATCTGAGCCAAACTCCAGGACAGCTCTGGTTCCAGTAATGAAATTCAACCTATTAGAGTTTCACTTTCAAAGAGGCTTTGAGCTGCCCTTGTGCAAAAGCCTTGTTCTGCCAATAGTCATCTGACAGGCCCAAGGAGCTTGTTCCGCCCTCCTGCTGTCTCATGCATTCATAAATACAAAGACATGGAATCAGCACGCTGGAAACTGTCCAAGACCTCATAAGAATCTTCTGTGGAGTGAATCTCAGGAACCAGCTGGAGCTGAAAAGGACGAGCTGTTCAAGCCGCTGATGACGGCAGCGGGATTCCAGTCCGGCTGGTAAAAGTGGATGTTCAGAGTCTGAGCCCAGTTTGAGAACACCATCTTCTCTGTGATGAAGCGGTGATGGCTTCCTCGTCGACTTTTCTCATGTAGGAGGTACATGAAGCACTCGTCCGGACCAGAGGGCTCGTAGTAATGATACGGCACAGAGGGATGTGAGGAGGATCTTCACAGGAGAAGAGGAGAGGAAGAGAGAGAGAGAGAGAGAGAGAGAGAGAGAGAGAGAGAGAGAGAGAGAGAGAGAGAGAGAGAGAGAAGAGTCGGGCGTGAAACACACTGAAAGTCAATAGTGTGCGGGAGAAATGCGAAAACAGTGTGGGGATAATTATAACATGCAGAGGTGGAGAGCAGGAGAAGACGTGAGTCTCAGTGGGGAATGAAAGGGAGACACGATAAAAGGGAAACAGAAACATCAGAAGAACCCGAGCTCGCAGATGTGCTCATTTGCACCCATCTTCTTGTGATGCTCCCAGTCAGATCACACTCAGAGGAAGAGTCTGCTGTGACATGAGAGAGTTGCTGCAATCTGCCCTACATTTTTCTAAACGCCCCGTGTGCCCTTAGCTCACACCCTCACCACTAAAAAGGAATGTTAACTTGTTTTAAAACCCAATGACGTGTTGATTTGAGAGTAAACTCCTTTCCTTGCTGATAGCTCTAATGTGGGCAGAGTGAAAAATCATTAAAGATGATCCGGATGTTGAAACACGTCCCAGCCTACTGGGGCTAAAGACCAAAGGTCTGCTGTGGCCCCCGGACTCTGGAACTCTCTCCCCCTGAGCCTGAGATCAGTGGACTCAGTGGTCTCCTTCATAAAAGCAGCTGAAATCTTACCTGTTCAGGCTGGCTTTTGCATGACCTTTATCACCGACCTCTCCTTATTCTGCTTTCCCCAGGATCCACTGATTTCCCTCTTTCCTATTCACTCGTTCTCTCTTTCTTTGCATTTTTAATCACAGTTGTCTAATTTTGCTTATTTTAACCATATTTCTAATCATTTTCTAAAATCTTTTTTCAATTTAAAATTTTTTGTGAAGCGCCTCGTGATTTTCATCTTGAGAGGCGCTATAGAAAAGATTGTTTCCTTTCTTCTTTCTTTCTTGTAAGTAGGAGAAAATGACTGGACAGATCTGCAAAAGAAGAGTGTGTTCCTTCACGTCCTGTACTGACACATCAAGAGGAGGAAACTTTCTGTTGTGTCCTTGGTTTGTAAAGCTTTCGTCTCATTGTTGAGTAAAAGAAAAAGAAAAGCTCTGTGGTCCCTCACACTCTCTATTGGACACTCCTATAGATAAACCTTACATAAACAAGCGCGTGTACACACACAGGTGCTCACATGGTGCTCTCAAAAGTATGGGCTTGGGCACGTTCAACACTTGTCTCAAGGCTGTCGTTGCCACTAAATGAACTGTGATTTATTATCGTGTGATTGTTCAGTTAAACAATGTTGATTTTATATTTCATCATCACGTTGACGCAGTGATAGCTTGCTCCTGATGTATTGTTGTGTGTCCCATTTTTTTTCTGCTCTTCTCTTTCTGCAGGTCCAGAAGCAGACTCTTGTTCATTATTGTTTATTTTTGTGGAACCCCCCCCCCCCCCCCCCTCCTCTCTCTTCCCACCATTTGTCTTTTCCTTTCTCTTTCACCTCTGTCTCCGTGTCTGCTCGGAATTACAAAGCATTCACAAACAATAACAATAAAATTTGAAGTATCAGGCGTGACATTAAAAGCAGACGCTTTGATGCTCCACCTGAGAGTAAATCTGTAAGGCTTGTTACCAGCATCCAGACATCAATTCTGCTTGCTTCACAGACAGACATGACACGGTAAAAAAAAAAAAGAAAAAAAGAAAAAAAAGCCTTGCAGCAGGAAATAAGTCAGTGCCACTTTGAAAACTTTGAGAGAACACATTTTCTTAAGTTGATTGTTTTCAGCTACCACTTATTGAAGCTCTGTTCTTATAACTGTTATGTAATGTTTGGTGGTGAAAGACAGACTTAAGGGCAGGAGCCAGAGCAGCAGGGGTAATCTGAATATTTAGTGTGGACTGAGACCCTGTATGTACGCAGATGGGCATCCAACAAAACGGAGAGATTTTTCTACAGTTTGGCCATGAAGGTGAAGATAAACAGAACCAAAACAATAAAAAAATCTCCTTTGTCAGCATTTGCTTCTGTTTGTTAATAATCAGGGTTTTAAGTTTTGTGACACCACTGCCTGTGAAAAAAATGTTCTGACATCATGTGTTTACACGTACCTGCTTGTTTTAACAAGCTCGGTTACTGCTTACAGTAAAATACCAAAGGTGAACGACATTGGTTATTTTTCCACCACTTAGTTATTCCATGACCAAGGCATGTTTTTCAGCAGAGACACAGACGATTTGGGGAATTACTGCTGCCTACATGCCTAGAAGACTTGCTGCTGTGCTTACAAATCATGGTAGTCATTCAAAATAGATGTAATAGTTTTAGTTGCACTGATTAAATTTGTAATTTTTTAACTGGGCCCTGTATATAAGTACTTCTCTAATTGTTGCCTCCCTATATTATTATCATTTCATTGTGTTCATTTCTTAATTCTAATTTTTGCTTATCATTTATCTTGTCTTGCACCAAGTACCACAGCTATTTCGTAATGTTGTGATTCTTGCACATATGGCAATAAAACCCTTCTAATCAGATTCTTCTGATTCCATTAAAAGAGCTCACTAACTGGTTAATTGTGTGATCACAACAGAAAAAAGACAGCAGCGGTATCGTAGATGGTGTAAACCAGAGACAGAGTCACCATTGTGATGTGTCTTGCTTGTTTTGTCAACTCTGCCTACATGTGGCTCCAATTTTGTAGCGTTCGAACGCGTCACGCTAATTTCGAGGCATGTGCACAAACAACAACTTCAAATCACCTCTTTGCATAGCCTACACCTAAGAAAAAATGTGATTATATATGTATATATATATAATCCTTTATTTTACCAGGTAAAATCTCATTGAGATGTTTAATCTCATTTCCAAGAGAGACCTGGTCCAAGAAGGCAGCACAAAAAGTACAAAGAATTTTACACAGAAACAAAAATAAACTAAACACCATGTCCAGAAGATATGTTATGTGTTGATATATACGTTATCTTTTGTTGCACTGCAGCTATACCATATCCTTAAGCCTAATGTGTTTAAAGCTCAATTGGCTTAAAATGAAAAAAGTAGAAATAGTTCCAAGTCTTAAAGTCATGTGCACAAAAATTATCCTCTGTTTTAAAAAATTGTCTGAACTTCTCAGTTTATTAAAAAAAAAACACACAAAACAGCCCACAAGCTTGCTGCACAAATGTGATTTGTAATATTTTATTTGCACAGCTCTGGCATGCAAACCTGAGCTAGAGGATTAAAACGGGGGATTTAAAGAGATTTAACTCTCACCTGCAGAAGTCAGGTGGCACCATGCCATACACATTGATCCTGTTACACAGTTCCAGGGCTATAGCCATGGTGAACCAGCCGGTGCTCAACCACGAGTTGGAGCTTTTTCTTGAAAGATGAGAAAGAGCAAACACGTGCTTTATTACAGGGTCAAATATTACATGTACATCTGGTACAGAAGTGACAAAAATACCATTTAAAAACCCTCGTTTTGACACTTATGATGTTTTACAAAAGCCAGAATTCTCATGTAGATACAACATCTGCTTTTCATCCTGCTGGTTTATTTCTTACATGTAAATTAGTGAATAGCTGGATTTAAGTCAGTCAGATGTCCTTGTCTGTTTGTCTCATTATTCCAACCAAGCCCACATAATTCTGCAGCAAATATGGAGCCAAAAAGGAAGTGGCAAAAATTGCTGTTCCACCCTTATCCACTAGGGTCTGGCAGCAGAAGAGGACAAATCCTCACTGACTCCCATGTTAAACATGTCAATTTCACAGCAGAAATAAACATGTTTACAGCCTGGTTCAAAAAACATTTTAGGTTTAATAGATGTAGTTTACATTAATGACAACTCTGAGGGGGTGAATTTTATGTAATGCTTCTGTTCAAGTGGAATTTAATGCTTAAAAATCTGAATAAGTAATGAGCATCCACTGACTTCAAAGCTAGCTCCGAAGAAAGGCCTCAGCCTCACAGATGTTCGGCCATTTCGACTCTCTGAACTTTAGTTTTGTGTGTGTGTGTGTGTGTGTGTGTGTGTGTGTGCGTGCGTGCGTGCGTGCGTGCGTGTGTGTGTGTGTGTGTGTGTGTGTGTGTGTGTGTGTGTGTGTGTGTGTGTGTGTGATTGGATGTTAATCATGGAATTATTTGGACAAAAGGGCAAGCTGTGGTTACTTACAGACCATCTAAGCAGTTTCTGCTTCTTTTTATCAGTAAGTACATTTACATTTCTGTACTTTATTTTGCTGGTTGAATGGGGGGAAGTGCTGTGTCATTTAACCAGTGTTGGGAACGTTACTTTAAAAAAGTAATTAGTCATAGTTACTGATTACTTTGTCAAAAAAGTAACTCAGTTTACTAACTGAGTTACAAGATCATAAAAGTAACTAATTACCAACAAAAGTAACTACTTAGTTACTTTTTCATTAAAGAATGCAAGAATTACTACAATAGTGAAATATAAATGACTAATGACTGGAACATAATAAAATGTTTGTCCAAATGTTTTTTATAAACCTGAATAATTTCAATAAATAAGCACTTAACAGGAGGAACTACTAACAGGAGCATTACACTAATCTAGACTATTAAAAGGTCACTGTGTGATATTTAACAAGACCCCAATCAGCTAACATTTAAAATTGCAAATAGAAACACCTGTAAAGGTTCCCGAGCCTTTAAATGGTCTCTCAGTCTAGTTAAATTACAGAAATAAATGTAATTTTGCACAGTATTCTAATTTTTCCAGCTTCACATAATTGTGTGTTTTTAGCAGCATTTCTGTTGCTGGTAATCTAGTAACGGTTAAATAAATATATAAAATCCTTTAAAATGACACTAGAAGAGGCACAAATCTGATGGAGGACTTAAATGTACTAACTTGGGTCAGACCCAACCACAGAAGAGCTGAAGCTGGGTGGTAAACACACACAGGTAGTTCTAATAACACCTGAGCTCCATGTCGTTTGAGACTGATGCATCAGTGTTACAGCGGGACTAAAGACATGATCAGAAACAGGTTACAGCTGGATGATCTAGGAAGGCAGAAGATCAGGACGTCTGAGCGGTGAACAGGTGAGCGGACCTTCGGGACGTCCCGCTGTCACGCTAAGAAGGGCACGGCTGCACACCCGCAGATTCCCACCTGCAGCAGCGAATCTGCGGGGGGTCTGCAGCCGTAGATATTCATAACGTCTTCCTCGTTCTTCACGGGCCGTGATGCTCTTGGATGAAAACATCTACCTCTAGCTCCTGATCAGCTGATGACAGCTTTTACACACCGCGCTGCTTAACGCACGCATTTCCTTATCAGTAACAGAAACGATCGTTTTGACGTGGGCCGCTGCTGTAAAAAGTGAGGCGCGAACCGGAAAAGCTTCTGCCGATCACAATTCAACAACGGATTATGAAAGAACGGATAACGTTCGAAACACGCAGATTCTTCCTGATGTGAGAGGTGAGTCTCCACTTTGTTTTGGTTGTTTTGGCGTCGACATCATCCTAGCGCGCCGACACCTCTCTCTCCCTGGCTGTAGCTGAAGTGTGGCGGTCGGAAAGCCTGTTGCTCAACGTTCGACAAGCACATAGTAACGCACAACCTTCCGTCCCCAGTAACGGTAACGGCGTTGTAACGGCGGGAAAAGTAATTAATTAGATTATTCCGTTACCTATAAAAGAACGCCGTTAGAAACGCCGTTATACTTAAACTGCGTTACTCCCAACACTGCATTTAACCCTCTGGAGGCAGTTAAAAACCTACCTGGTTACTCCACATACGTATTTTATGAGCATTTTTTAACTCAGAGGTACCCCTGAATGACTTAGTTGTTCGTTCTTTTATCAAAACTTATTTTGAGCCTGAGAGGGTTAAATGCTTGGTCAAACATGTTAGTGGGGCCATAAGACACTTGAGTTGGTGGCCAACTGTCTCCTGCCTGAGAATAGCAGGTGGCTGCCTTCCCATTCCCCCAGGGCAGCTGGACCGGCTCCGAAGAGCGGCTGTAGTCATGCTGGTTCTCTGAGAGACTACAGAAACACCACAGCTCTTTTTGTTGACGCTGCTTCACTTTTGAGATGCTCAACCGCATTTTTCTCGCTGAAAACACCTGGAAAAACTCTGTTAGCTTTGGGTTAGTATGTAGCTAATGTCCCGCTGATCTCCAGCTCTGGAGAAGGGACCATGAACAATGGCGGATACGTGGACCTTTCACCACAGTGGACCAGCGAAGCCCGATATCCTCGGTCAGCTAACCCAGTTATGATTTCATTACCCTGATGGAAAAACCAGCATAGACCAGCATATGTTGTGTTTTGGTGCTGGTCTAGCTGGTCAAGCTGGTCCATGTTGGTCTTTGCTGGTTTTTCCAGCAGGGAGGAGGCTGGAGGTGCCTTTACTTTGTAGTAGCTTTACCGTGTTTTTCTTGCTGAAAACGGCCGGGAAAACTCTGTTAGCTTTGGGTTAGCATGTAGCTAGTGTCCCGCTCATATCCGACCGTGGAGCAAGAGCTGATGTAAAAGGCTACGGTGCCCGGTTATGATCACAGCGGTCTGAGGCTCCGCTTGTAATTTAACAGTCCCAGACCGTATTAGATCTCCACAGGCAACCAGCATGACTACAACCTCGTATGGGAGCCAGTCGTCCATGCAGGTAGGATACCCCGGTCCAAAGAGCCCTTCTTAGCTTCTTGGGTTAGTCAAGTCAGCTAGTATCTACACTGGTTCATTTGTTCCCACCCCGTTCCAAATGTAACAGCCCCACCCTCAGCTCCACCTTTTATCCCATTTTTGGATTGTCTGGGTGTGACGGGGCCTGTGACACGGTCAAAACGGTGGTGGTGGGAACCTCTGATTTGGGCACAAAAATGTATAATTCGAGCCTATGGACACACATTTTCTAGTATATATGTTGATGGTTCCAACTCCCTCGTTTTCTACAGTTCATTTAAATGCTACAAGATCTTTGTCATGCATCATATAAACTCAAAGAAAAGTAAAAATTTGCTCCAAACTCTGCATGTTGATGCTTAGTTTGGAGGTTTTTGGCTTCTGAGACAGCCAACAATCTCAATAGTGCCAATAAAAAAACAGATTGTTAAGCATTTAGAGTTTTCTGAAGCAAGACACTGACCAGTTAAAACAACTCTCATCATTTATAGCTAAAATATCTCGCAAATAAAACATTTATTCTTTGACCATTTACCTATCAATGCCCGTTTCTTTCTTGAATAACTCATCAAACTTCAACATCTTGATTCGAGAGATGATGTAGACCTTGAGTTTGGGCTGTAGCTGCTTCAGTAGTCTGAGGTTATTGTAAACATGACCTCTCCCATCCTGCCTCATGGTGCTGCTGGGCCCCCAGAAGATGAAGACGGTGTCCTGGCTCCCGTTTAGCAGCTCCTGTCTGCGGCGAAGGACCCTCTGAAGGCTGGAGTGAGCTACAACACGCAAACTGGTTCGCCGCCCCACGTCCTGCTGGTAACCTGCACTGGGAGCATCATTCATTCGAATAACACACTGAGAGCGGTCGATTTCTTCACCCCTTCGGCTTTCAGTCAGTTGGCCAGAGCTGGTCACCAAGGCGCAGGTGCTGCAGTACATTTTCAGAGGCTGCAGGGTCAAAAGGTAAGAGATCACTGAGGTTTCATTCAAATATAATTAACAAGGTGCTGCAGAAAGCAGTTTTTTTATTTTTTAAAGCATTCTGACATTATTGGTAACTGAGAATCACAATGTTCTTTTCAAGGAAGGAAATACATTTTGAAATGATCAAAATGATTGCAGATTACAGAAACACATGTTGCTGTACCAGTGCAACCAGCTGATTGGTGCTTCGGATTTTCCTGGCGACGCCCCTCTGTTTCATCGCTGGTCTGGCTGTGTTCAACCAGCATTTGCTCTGAGTGGCTGCGCCTGTGGGTGCAGCATAAAAAGCTGCTTGGTTCAACTTCACAGGAAGTTGAGACTGATCAGAGGGGGCAACTTTGGGTGGCCTTACCTGTGTGGCATTTTTTGTAAGGCTTTTAGGAGGCTTATTTTAAAATCAAAATACTCTAACAAGTCATCCTTTACTCATTCTACAAATCAAACCTTGGTCAAAATGACAATCCTTCCCTTCTTAGATTACAGTGATAACATTTATAGGACTGCTTCCAAAATGCGTCTTCATAAACTCGATGTTATTTATCACTCACCTATCTGTATCAACACTGGTGCCCCTTTCACTGCTCATTATTGTAATCTGCACTCGTTCGTTAACTAGCCACCATGGTTTACGTTCCAGTAACTTAACCTCTATGGTTATTCCCAAAGCTCGCACCTCCTTTGATCACTCCTCATTCCAGTTAGCTGCTTCCAACGACTGGAATGATTTGCAAAAATCACTGAACCTGACTCTTTTATCTACCGTCAATAATTCACTGCAATCAGTAGCTTTTGATCAATGGAGGTCCACACAAGCATATGTATACGTGTGTGTGTGTGTGTGTGTGTGTGTGTGTGTGTGTGTGTGTGTGTGTGTGTGTGTGTGTGTGTAGGTGTGTGCATGTGTGCGCGCATGTGCGCACGTGTGCGCACGTGTGAGCGACTGAGATCTTTGCAGAGCTCTTTTCTTCCTGTCTGGCTGTGAAGCAAACAGAATTGATGTCTGAACGCTGGATACAAGCTTTACAGATTTACTCTCAGGTGGAGCATCAAAGCTTCTGCTTTTAATGTCACGCCTGATACTTAAAACTTTATTGTTATTGTTTTTGAATGCTTTTTAACTCCGACCAGACACGGACACAGAGGTGAAACATAAAGTTCCTCGGGGGGGGGGGGGGGGGGGGGGGGGGTCCACAAAAATAAGCACTAATGAACAAGAGTCTGCTTCTAGACCTGCAGAAAGGGAGAGAGAGAGAAAAAAAGGGACACTACAACAAGATCAAGCTATCACTGCGTCAACTTGATGAAGAAATAGATAATCAACATTGTTTAACTGAAGAATCACACGATAATAAATCACAGTGCATTAAGTGGCAACAACAGCCTTAAGACATGTGTTGAACGTGCCCAAGTCCATACTTATGAGCACCATGTGAGAACCTGTGTGTGTACACACGCTTGTTTATGTAAGGTTTATCTATAGGAGTGTCCAATAGAGAGTGTGAGGGGCCACAGATCTGCCCCCTTAAAGATGTTCAGGAGACAGAGGGTCCCAAAGATCCAGGAGCTTCCCCAGAGCACAGGAACCCCAGGGAGACTGTGACCAGAAAAGCCCCCGCCCCCCTCGAGAGGCACAGACAATCGCCCCGGGGGGCCACAACCAGCAGCCGGTAGAGTCCCGGGAGATATCGGCGGCAAGCCCCCAGGCCCGCCCGCAGCCTCCCACCCCCTAGCCGGCCGAGCCCGGGACCCAGCGACCCGGGACCCAGGGGCGACCACCCCCGCCGGGGACCCAGCAGAGCCCAGGGACCCAGACCCCACCAGGCAGCCACCGAGATTGGTCAGGCAAATGCCAAAAATCTTAAACTTCCTGACCCGGGAGCCACGAACACTCAGGCAGACCAAGGCACCGTACTCCACACCAGCTGTGGCAGGGGGAGGGGGAGACGAGGATCTTTATCATCAAAAGAAGTCCCAGGAGAAGGGAGGAGTCAAAGGCCCCACCTGACATATACAGTCATACACAAACACAGTCACACACTCCCTCCCTCATGCTCACACATACACATACAACCAAAGACTTACAAAAATGCACGCCGGACATCCACTCATGCTCCCCATACACACCCTATTCACTCTGGTCCCGTTACTGCTGCACATGGGGTACAACCATTACCAGTTCCCAGAGATCGACCCTTTCTGCTGGGGTGCTGATGAGCAGGCTCCCCCGCCCAACGCTGAGCACAGCAACCCACCACCCCAGACCTCAGCCGGACGGCCGGATCTCCCTCCTAGCCTCCAGCCCCAGGAAGCCAAGCGACAACAGAGGTGTGCTAAGACCCCTAGTCTCCCTCCTCCTGCTCCAATATGGTGTTAGTGAGTGTTGATGAGGTGTATTCCATGGCAGTGGTGAGCGGGCAGTGCAGAATTGTTTTACTTCAGCCCCACAGAATTGATGCTTTCATAAATTACAGAAAGTTGTCCAGGGCCTGCAGGAGCAATGCAGTCCCAGGGCATCATACTACCACCACCATGTCTGATTGTTGGGATGAGTTCAGCTGGTTCAAAATTTTCTCAAGACCAACACCATTCTCAAGCCCTCTCCTGGTTTATATGATAGATGGGATGAACATTTCCCATTTTCTCTCTCCTTGTTCCGTCTGAGTTGCACTTCATATCTCACTGTTCATCTTTGTCTCTGCTGACGTGGGAACACTCAGTAACAACATGTCAAACATGACTGTTACGAACCCTGGGCTCCCGCACCTTGAATGGCCCAGTTCTGCTCCCTCCATGCCGTTCAGCACCTTGGACAGGTCCTCCGTCAAGCTGGCCTCCACCTCTGCCCGCCTTCAGTGTCCCAGCTGCAAGCCATCAACTAATGAGGACTGATGGCTTAAAGGACTGCAGCTTTCAGTTCTCTGGGAGAGAACCACAGCCTAAACACCTGTTCTTCTCTCCTCGGTCCTGGGATCATTTGGTAGTAAACGGTTTAGCGTATTGATAAATTTGGATAAAAACTTTGGTCAATTCAGTGTTTAGGATAGATAGCTCTTTTGTTAAATCCTTTGGTAATTAATAGCTGTTTTTCATTTAGTGATCCTTTTTGTCTGCTCTAGAGCTTGAATTTCACTTTCCTTTTTCAGCCTTAGAGCTCACTTTAGTTTTGATAGACAGAATAATATTTAGGATAATTATAGCCGTCGAGATTTGTTTTAGTTATTTAGCTCCGGCATTTTTGTTTAATAAAGATATTCTCGTGTTTCCTTCCCTGAGCCCCGTTGCCTCAGGTGTTTTGAGTTTTCTCCGTCGCCTTCGTTTAGTTAGATTAGAGTGCATTTTCGTTTAGTCATTTTATTCCGGTCAAGGACTGAGTATTTGTGTTAACCCCTTTGTTAATAAAATACATTTTATTAACACTTCCCCTTTCTCTGCACCAGTTCTTATGTTACCCCTCTGCCACAATGCTTAACATCATCAGGGTTTGTAACAATGACTGACAGGGCTCTCATGACTGCTGGTCAAAAGATTTTAGAAGAAATCATCCTGTGGATTTGTGGAGTGCTTTTGTTACTAAATGTTGTATGAAGAACACATTAATTATGAATTATAAAACCAAGCAAACCTTGAAGAGAATTTAGAACTGAGACTATCACAGGAAAATAAGCTGTATAGTGTGGATCCTATCATAGTGAGGGGAAGAAGCTTTAATGCGATGGTAATAGGCTAATTACAGACGTATGCTATAGGAAGAATCTTATAATCATCATCATCAATGTGGATCCATTCTATAATGTGTTAATAATTAAGTGCACAAACCTTCTATGGGAAGAAATATCAAAGGATAAAAATGAGGTTTTAACTGAGTATGATCGAAAAATGTCACATGTTCATTATGTAGTCTAAAGCCTTTATTATATCAAATAATTCAAAACAACAAAATAATTACATTTCATTCAGCAGTCATGTCAAATCTGGACACAGAGTAAAGACTTTGCATATGCTCTGTGGATTAAAAATTGTTTCATTTATAAAGGATGGATTTGAAATGGAAAGTGGGAATCAAACCAGTGCATGTATTTCAAACGTAATCTTTAACAAAATGCATATCTAACTTTACTCACATGCTTGATTTCCACGGACATCAATGAAACTCACTCAATGCAGACACATCCTTTGCAAATAAATCTAAAGTTTGCTTTCAGTAAAACAAAAAAATGAATAAAAACATGAAAAAATGTTTTGAAAAACTTGGCTTTTTAAACTTGCTTTCATCTAATTTTACTGGTTGTCTTTTCTCATATTTGTTTATGTTCTTGCTTGTTATTTTGTTTTAATGTGAAGCGCCTTGTGATTTTTATCTGTGAAAGGTGCTACCGATATAAAGGTTACTTACTGAATATGAAGTGCAACTTTCACCAAAATGAAAAAAGGTGCTTAACTTTCTCACAAAAAATAGAGGTTATGGTTTTTTTTTTGTTTGTTTTTTTGTTTTCTGGTAATCAGAAATCTGAGCAGATCACCGTGACATGTGGGGTCCCCCAAGGTTAGATTCTTGGACCACTGCTCTTCAATCTCTACATGTTCCCCCTGGCTCACGTCAAACACGGTAACAACATTGCCTTTCATATTTATGCAGATGACATGCAGATCTACCTCCTAGTGACAGTGGTCCCCTAGACTCATTCTGTCACTGTTTGTAGCAAGTTAATGATGCAGTCAAACTTCCTTCAGTTGGACAAAGACAAGGCTGAAGTTTTTGTCTTTGGAAATTAGAAGGATATGATGGAGGTTATTGCTCAACTCGGCTCCAGAAGAATAAAAACAAAGACCCAGGTTAGAAATCTTGGTGTCATAATTGATACAGATCAGGAGTCTCATGTCCAGACAAGACCATGCATTCATTCATGCATTCATCTACAGCAGGCTGGACTATTGCAATGTAATTTATCTGGTCTTCTCAAAAAAGCTGCTGAGCGACTGCGGCATATTCAGAATGCTGCCGCTAGAGTCTTAACAAGAATCAACCACATAACTCCTGTTCTTAAATCTCTACACTGGTTACCAGTAAACTACAGAGTCGATTTTAAAGTACTTCTACTAGTTTATAAAGATGGCATGGGCCCAGAATACATGTCAGATCTCCTTCCAGTATACACACCCAGCAGGGCTCTGAGATCCTTAGGAAGCAGTCAGCTGGCAGAACCTCAGGTCAGAACCAAACAGGGTGAAGCTGCTTTTAGCTACTATGCTGCACACAGATGGAATCAGCTTCCTCATGACCTCACATGTGTCCCACTTCTAGTAACTTTGAAATCAAAATGTAATCAAGATATCTGCCTGCAGTGATAGCTTTTTATGCTGCACCTTCTGCGCTGTAACTGCTCAGTAAACTTAGCCTTTTTATTGCATTTCCTACATCTAAGTTTATTTGTGTATTTTGAAACCTCCTGTTCAATATGGTCGCAGAGATTTAAAAAATTGTTTAGAACAATTACATTTTTATTTTTTTGGTGTTCTCTTGTACCTAAAATGCACACTGTATTGACTCTGTGTATGAAATGTGTAATATAACCAAAGCTGCCTTACTGGTTGAGTTAATGATTTATTTGATGGGGGGAGTTCTAGTTCAAAAATAGAACAAAATAGATTTTTTTATTGCCATTTTTTCTGGAACTAATACACTTGAACTGTTATTATGAGGCTTTATTTTTGCTCAGGTCTGTCAACTTTCTTTTCTATAATTTTTCTCTAAATTAAATTAGTTTTAATGGTAACATTCAAATAAAATATGACTAAATACTGTATATCTAAAACCCTTAAGTGTTTATGATTTTGAAAACTCTGGTTCCTATGATCCTGGGATTTACCCAATTGTCTGACGGTGCACCAGTGATCCATACCTCAAAGTCCATGACGCCTGTGTACCCCTCCAGAATTAATGTCGGGCGTCTGTCTGGCCTTTGCGTGACTGCAACTGGAGAATCCGCATGGTGGGAAGATGGTGATGATGAGGACGATGATCTCTCACCGCAGCCACTGTTGTATGCCAACATAAACCCTGTAACCATGGCAACGATGATGACGCCACCAACCCCTTGACACTGGAGAGACAAAAAAGACATCCGCATCCAGTAAGAATATTTTGATAAGAAAATCCAAAGGTATCCTTTAGTGACTGCAAACCTAACATCAGCCCTCAAAGCAAAAGGAGCACAACGATAACAGCTGTGATTTAACTCATGCAACGCTGCAAATGATATGTCACGCAAATGTGTTCGACGTTGTTAAATGGGCAGCATGTTTTTTGTATTAAACCTGCAAAAGTGTCCTTAGGATGCTTGGATCAAATGCATCACATTTATTAAATAAAAACTTTACAAGGAGGAGTCTTAATCCTTGAGCATTAAAATGTGCATAGTGCAATGAGGTCACGGAGCGCAGTCTGCAACTCATTTCTGAGCAATGAAGCTGCACACAAAAGAACAGTCTGAACCCCCTCCCCCCAGGCTTTCCTTCCTAATTACCACTTTTATCTTCATCTTCGTTCCCCCTCGATTCCACGTGCAGAGAGAGTCTTCATCCTATCGGGACCGGGCGTTGAGACTCCTCAGCATGCAACACTTGAGCAAGCAGCAGCATCACCGGGATCAGCACACAGCAACAGCAGACCGCTCTCCTCAGCGTTGCTCTGCCTCTTTCACCAGCACACTCCTCATGGTCCTAAACACCTCTCAGACGAGGTCTGTTTCAATGAGGGGGTTCACAAGTTGATGTTCGGGGACATCATTATGAAACGTGATTTGCAATAATTCTCCTCCAAGGGTGACTGACTCCAAATGTTTTTATTAAACCTTCAAACAACAAACCTTCTAACTACATGGCAAAACGAACCTGATCCTATCTTTAGCAGCGCAGCATACCATTTCTGGGACGCGCCTGGAAATTGCCGCGTTGGTGCTGGTTTGAAACGGTCCATAGATTATAATGGATTCTATTTGATGCAGTGCCGTTCCGTGCCATTGATGCTTTCAGTGTGCTCGTCTTTGTCCGATCCTTGTCTTGTCTCATGCTGTATCAGCCTACCTATCATTATTCATATTAATCAGTTTTGCTTGCCAACTATTGCAACCAACTCTACATCACGGCAAACACAGCTCAGCAGAATGCCAGTGTCTTCCAGAGAGAAAAGCACTTAGATAAAAGTTAACAGCTGAAATAACAGGAAATGATGCAGCTGGAGGGTGCTGGTAGGTCAGTATCTTGGATGAAATTTGTGTAAATGTTTCACAAAGATTAATGATGCACATTTGATGGAAATGGAATATAGACCCAACTGCAAGTGTGCAGTGTTTCTGACTTTTTCTTTATCTCGGTTCTATTTTTTTAACCCATTTACTTTCAGGGGCCTCTTCTGTCACTTGAACTCTAAGAGCTAAAACCTCACATTGGTGTTTTGCTGGAGGTAGTTATCTTACAACAACACGTTTTAATAGGTACATTTTTCATATAAAATCATATTTTTCTTTTGTCTGCTAGTCGTAAACTGAAGTGACCCAGTTGTAACTGATAACTTATTTATCTGAGAAACAACTCCACATCATCATAATGGAGCAGATGCTGGTAAAAAGGAGGTTAACCTACTTAAGAGTATCATCTTTTCTTTATGCTTTCTGATTGTCTCGCCGGAAGGATAAGCTGATTAATTTATTTTTTAAATTTCATCACAAAAGATATTGTGAAATATAAGTTATAAAACAAATATTGTCCTAGCATGGAACCAGTTGCCACCCTCAGTTAGGCTGTCCCCATCTCTGCCCGTCTTCAAGAGTCACCTAAAATCCCACCTCCTCCGCTTGGCGTTTCCTGAACATGTTTGAATTTGGCCCTCTTTTATGTTGATTTTATCTCACAGTTTTCATTGGTTCACTTTTTCCCTTGTTTTACACATTTGACTTCTACTAGAATGTTTCACCTTCTTTGTAATTTGTAATCTGTAATTTGAATTGCTATTATTTTCTGATTTATTCACTTTATTTAACTTTGTACTGTACCATGTTCAGCGCCTTGGGCTTCCTGACAGGGTTGCGGAAGGCGCTTTATAAATAAAGCTTTGATTGACTTGGTTTGAAATAATTTATTTTGTCACAGTACATTATATCCTGTGCAAAAGTCTTGAGCCACCCCTCATTTCTTTAATTTTTACTTGCAAACAATCAGATTTTTTTTTTTTTCATTTTTAAAAATAATCTTGACCAAGAAAAATCACGGTTTCTTTTATTTCTCTTTAGACTTTGGCTGCTTTTTCCACTCAGTTTCAGCTACATGTTTTTAGTTTGTGATTGATGAATCATCCAGGTATAAAAAGGCTATTAAGCCCAAGGGATAAACCAGTGTTGAGTCTCGCATTTAGCAAATGACTTATTTTAAATGACATCATTAAATTCCCTCCATTTAATGTTTTACAATAACGGGACATTTGCCTCTAAAACATAAAAAATAAAGGTATTCCATTAAGGAGAATCTTTGACCTAAATGCATTCTTTTATATTTAACCTTGTGAGACGGGTCACACGTGCCCCACTGGGTGATGATGTCAGAAGACACTGGGACTAATTCACATTAATGTAAGAGAAAGGTATGTCAGCAGACCCAATCATGAATTATTTATCTGTGCCACACTTTTTAAAAACTAGGACAATCATCTCACAAGCAGCGCAGATGCCGCTTGCACAAACGCATTCAGGTATTTAAATAAATCATTCGACATAAAAATGGAAAAACGAAATGTAAAGCCCAACAAAAATAACATTTTATTTTACAGAATACACTCAGAGAAAGCTTGAGTCTAAAATGTTGACATCAAAGCATTTGTTATTGTGGCCGACACTGAGCGAGTTCTGGTTTTACAGCAGGCTTTGCAATTTTCATTTTAAGCTGCTAAATTTGGAACGCAGAGTAACTCAGATTCACAGAGGAGAAAGCAGCATGACTCACTACACCCTTCTGCGTGCACTGAGTCATGCTATCAAAAATGTACACAAAAACGCCATTACGTCAAGTATAATTATAGCATTGTTCATTATTGTTTTATTATAAAAGTGTATTTTCTAACTCTCTCCGACACCAGAATAGTTTCACTCATCAAGTTCTCTGTATCATGTAGAAAGATGACCTGATAGACGGCAGTCTGTTGTGTTGTGATCAGAAGGGTCCCTGAGGTCTAAAATGTATCTCCAAACAGCTCAAGGGGAGCAAACACAGACAAGTGCAAGGCAAATAACTATGCAACAAAACCTTTTTAATTAACTACCCTCCTACATCCAAGGAGGCACCAGACCACCTCTGCTGAGCCAAACACAATATAAACATCAAGTGATCGGCTGTTGGACTTTTTCTGTGCCAGCAGCAGTTCTTCCCTCATTATTCTGTCCTCTGAGTCAGTGCCTCTGGGTCGTCATGCAGAAATTTCGTCAGGAAACAGGGAGTCAGGAAACAGGTCATACCACGCTCTCACTGAGCTGTGAGGTCATGTGAGATTAGCGGTCGACTGATATTGGCTTTTCTATTACCGATGCCGATATGTAGAGGTCATGTTGAGCCGATGGCCGATTTCCTGGCGATTTTTTGGGACCGATTTTCATTGCTGATATTAGATGTTTCCTCCTTACTTTCATGCTAAAAGATCACTAAAAACATCAGTTGATGCACATTGCTGATGCTGAATCTGTTTCTGAACACTGAGGCCTAGTCCACACGTAGCCGGGTTTCTTTAAAAACGAATATCTGCCCCTCCAAAAACTTGCATCCACACCACCTCGTTTTAAAAAAAACTCTGTCCACACGTACCCGGATAAATACGTTGTTAAGGACATGCCAGACCTGTAGGTGGCAGTACTTCCCCCGTTCTTAACCTCGTCCTTCGTCTGTGGTCTTCTGCAAGGAGCAGCAATTCCGCTTGCAAAAACAAACAAGCAAAAAGTGCTTGGACAATTGATAAAGCGAGCGCAGCTCTGAGGGCATCCATGCTGTCGGCTAGTGTAAACACAGGTCGCACACGTGATGTCAGCATTTTTTTTGTCGCGGAAAGTGACGTTGCGGACCTTAAAATTCCGGTTTTGTCTGTCCACACGCAGACACCCAAAACGGAGAAAACACAGATCTTCACTTTGGCCGGAGTTTTTAAAAAGATCCGTTTTCGTGTGAAAAAACTCAGTTTTCGTGTGGATGACAGGCCAAAACGTAGAAAAATATCTATGTTTTGGCAGATCCCCGGCTACATGTGGACAGGGCCTGAATTTAACCTCACCTCATCTCACCTTCCTCCGCTTATCCGGGTCCAGGTCACGGGGGCAGCATCCCAATTAGGGCCTCCCAAGCAATTCTCTTGTTTAATGAATTTAACCAATCTTAATTTTGTGTACTGCTCAGTGTTAAAATCAGGTGTCAAAAGATAATCAAACAAATCATTAAATTGAGCAAGTGCGGTAATAAATATTCAAAACTGCAACGTGTTTCAATCACCTGCCACAGTCTTGCTCATTTATGCCCAAACAACTCGGATTTGATGCCTTCAAGAAGAAGTGTCGTTTTGGGACTTTCAACCTCTGTAGTGGCTGGAAGACAAAAATGAAAGTGGAAAAAATAAATTTTTACCTGGTTTTTAAAAGAACAACTGATGTATTTGTTTTATTTGATGAACAAAGTTCCTGTTCATGTGATTATGATTCAGTAGTAAATTGTTGTCATCCAACTTTCTGACAGAATGACAACAAAAACACAAGAAACAGCAATTCAGAAAGATGTCGGCCTGTCCTATTTCTCTTTTAGTCAACTATTATTATATACGTGAGCATAGAAAATAGATTAAGACCCAAATTCCTTCAACCCTAATGAAACTGAATGTGCAACAGATTCTTATGATGATAGCCCATTTGGCACTGGTATTTTTGTTTCTGTTTTCTAGTAATGACAACCTAAAGCCATCATGGTTTGGTGCCAAATTCAAAGATTAAATAAATTATCTGAAAAACACCATTTTAGTTCATTCTAACATTTGCATAACTGCCATTCCCTCACTTTTTGTTGCAGACTCATCATTGATTCTAATTAAAATTGATGTTTATTTTTAACACAATCGTAATCCAAACATTTCTGAAAAAATGTCACCCTCAACAAGAGACACTGCTGTAAGTTGCACTCTGCAGTAAAGCGATTCTAATTCTTCCTGCATGCTGCTGGCGATGATCCTGCTACACCAATATGTGATTTGTCTCAGGAAATTCAATCCCTGGTTAATGACCAGCCTTTGGCAACCTGAGCTCTAATTAGTTTCATCAGGAGAATTATAAAGGAGATGTTTCAAGCTTTATAAAGTGATTTTTGCTCAACTTTCAATGGATTCTGTCAAATAAAAATTCTGCACTTTATTTTACTCCATTCCAAAAGGAAAATGTACATCTGGCGTTACATGTTCATGCAAAATTTGAATACTATAGCATCAATAGCATTATGTAAATGTTTTAGACACTGAAACATCTGAATGTAACTGCTTTGACTAGTGAATTTTGTCTCAGACTCTGCAGTGTAAAGATTAATGACTATATAACCTAAACCATTTTTAGTTTGAAGTGCTGATAACTTTAGTGTAATTTTTTTCTGTTATGTGTAAATAGTTTTTTATGCTGTGTTTTAAATTATTGTGTGTGTGTGTGAGTGTGTGCGTGCACGCGCATGCGTGTGTGTGTGTGTGTTGCCCTGAGATGGACTGGCAACCTGTCCAGGGTGTATGCCACCTGTTTGCCCAGAGATTGCTGGAGATAGGCACCAGCCCCCCTGCGACCTTGCATGGACAATGGATGGATAGATGGATGGGTGTTTTAAATGGTTTTACTGTTTGAGCCTCTGCCTGTCATTGCCAGGATGTTCCTGTAAACGACAGTTTTATTTTCAAGAGTCTTTCTGTTTGAATAACCATAATATCACAAAAGCAAGAGAAAAAATTATCAGTAAGGGTTACATGGATCATCTAAAGTTGCAAAACCTGGTCATACACGCATGGACGTAATTTGGGGGGGGGGGGGGGGGGGGGCATGTCCCCCCCACTTTTTCCAAAGTCAAGTTTTGACCCCTGCACTTTTTACCGTCCAAAGACAATATTATGCAATATTAAATGGACACTAGTTGAGCTCTAGGACCAAGCGGAAAACAACCTTTTGTGTTGAAGCCCGTGTCCCATTAGAACATACTGTAAAGATAACCCCCCCGGGTCCGCCCCACTTCTAAAGTGAAAATTACATCCTTGCATACACGACTGAGTTTTGAATTTATGCAACCTGATGAACTATGCAGTCCTCCAAACTGGGCAGCTTTGTAAAAAACAAATCAGATTACTTTTTGGTTTTATATCCGTCAACTGGGGTTGGGGTCGTTGTTGATCAAATATTAAGACCTTGTACAGTAGACATTTGGGCCATTCCCATCTGTACCGGGTCGGCCCGGGCCGGATAGCCCCAGTCGGCCCCAGCCTGGCCCGGTTGATTCCACACATCCTTGTCTTAAGCCTATGTGGGCTGATTCTACCCACCAATCAGAGGCTTGCTCTAATGGAAGGTGTGAATTTGCTGTCAGTAGTGGGTGTGTTGGCCCTGGTCGGCCTGAAGCAGACCCCCTCGAGAAGAGGGCTGAGAATGAGCCTTGGTTGGCCCGGAAAAATACCAGGCCACTCAGATATGTAAACAACCTACGCTACCCGGCCCGGGCCGGCCCGGTACAGATGGGAATGGCCCAATTTATGTACCAACCAGGACGCACCGTAAATAAACACCCATTTCACACAAAGAGAGGTGCAAAACCAAACAATTACCAGCAGGGGTCAGTGTTTCTCCATTGGACCATACACTAATATTGAGCTGTGTTTAGCCCTGCCTGAGGATTTCTGTGGCACGTTTCCTTTTTCAAGTGGATATAAATGCATTAGTCTCTGTTCGTGGGCTGTTTCGTAACAGCTACCTGAAGTCTGCTCCCAACGGAGGAAAAGGAGGCAGGTGCAGGGGAGCGCGCGCGGCCCCTTTAAGGCCGTTTTAGGCATAATTAGTGACGTCTCGCGCTGTGTACACGACCGACGCTTAGCTGCGTGGATGGATGAAGCATCCTCAGAGCATCCGAGAACCCCGACGCCGTCCCCGCTTTGCTGCGTTTTCCCACTACGGTACAATAAAAATTGAAGTTCACGTCGAGACTCCTATGCGGTCTCCATAACCGAGACGTGGGTGGTGCAAGTGTTCCAAGTGCCATGGCTAGAGTGAGGAACATCCCACCTTCCCAGTACGGTGAGTCGCTTCGTCTTTGTTGTTGTGGGGTTTTTGCGTCTTGTGGTAACAACGAGATGCACGTTCTCCTCCGTAGCCTCTGGTGCTGAGCCGCTTCAGAGCCTGCATCTGTCACGTGCTAACAGCTGACAGACTTTCACACCAAACTGCTGCTTTAAATTCCCAATTATTGATCATAAACACGTAAAACGTAAACACTAGTTTGTGTCAAATAAACATCAAGATAAGTCGAATTTTTCCCCATGTTTAATTTGAAATGCCCCCAAATCCATCCATTGTTATTAGAAGTTCACATGAGTGATGTAATGTTTTTCCCATTGTTGTTGTGAAAGTGTTCTCTCACACTCATCAGTTTACTCTAAACCGGTGAGCCTTACGGGAGACGATGTGTGGTAGCAATAATGAACAAAGCCAACCTTAAAAAACTATTTACTTTCTTCTTGCATCTACAAAACTCATGATTGTTTCTTTAGATTTTTACTAAATTACAGAAATATAAGCAATCTAATGGCGTGATCATCCGATTGTCAGCTATAAATGTGACCTTTGAAGGTATTGAATAATCCTAAAGAGGTGGCTGATTGGGATTTGCATGGTGTCATTATGAAGGAGAGCAGAGTGTTGCCTTTTCAGCAACAAAGGATTTATTCTGTTAATGTGTCACTTAGCTGATCCAAGTGTTTAATAGATATTATTTAGAACAAATGCAGATTTTCAGTCTATTAAACTGTCTTAGTGATAATTTTGTGCATCGGAGGAGGGTGATCTTTTGTTATCACCAGATGCCACACGTACTGCGACATCTCTATTTAGAAACAAAGCCTGGCCTACACTAAAGCTTTTTACCAATCTAGTTGCAGTCATTGCAGAGCTGTTATAAATATTTTATAATAGCTGTAATAAAAGTTAATAATATAGGACAGAAACTCACACTCACTTTTTATTGTCCAATTAGAAAGCAGAGCAATATTAATGATGTCATAATTAATTTAATTTTTTTTATCAGTGTCAATAAATGTCCATCACAGTTAGGACTCATCTAATCATTTCTGCTTCAGCTTTATTATTAAATGTTATTTTAGATTTTTGATAGAAGGATTTCCATCTTAGATTTGGTTGTTGCATCGTGTCGGGCATTTTTTGTGTTTTGTTCCCTCATAAATTCTGAAGCTTGTGGCAATTTATATGTTCTGACTGGACATAACTGATATATTGTTCCAGGGTGGGGCATATAGGAGACAGGACATGACGTGTTACAGAGGTTTGCTTATTTCAGTGGTCTCCAACCCTCGAGGGTTACTATCCAACCTGTTTTAGAGGTTTAGCTGATCCAACACACCTGATTCAATGGTTGAAAGACCTGTTCAGCATGTCATTAAGCTCTGTAGAAGACTGTAAATCACCCACTCGTTAAACCAGGTGTTGAAGCAGAGAAACCTCAAAAACATGCTGGATAGGGGCTCTGGAAGACCAGGGTCAGACTCCACTGGTTTACATCTTGCTCACAGTGGTAATTGAGGCCATGGGTGGCAGATAAATAATGGTGACACAGTTGCTCCATTTGCACGATTGATCTGGTGCCAAAGGCCAGGCTGCATCTTTATCAATATCGATGACTGATTTGTTGTTGTTACCAACACAACATATATTTGTCCTGTGCACAAAATGGATACATGAAAAATAAAAGTAAATGTAAGCAAAAAAGTGAAAACACAAAGAACAATTTTTAAATGTATTTTTATTTAACCTCTATTTAACCAGATAAGTTGATTGAGAACTCGTTCTCATTTACAAAGACGATCTGGACAAGAGGCAGCAGCTACAGCCTTATAAATTCTGTGAATACCTTCCAAAGGGGACATTACTCACATTTTAAAGTTGCAGCCCAGCAGGATGAAGTGTTGAAAGGTACATGGTTACGAGTTCAGAAACACCAACGTAACAGAGGCATCACCGAGTCTGCTCCTGATAGCTCCTGATGGGGAAGGCTACTGTTCTCCTGATCCTCCCCACATCCTGACACGCTGTATCCCGCAGATCTCATGACTCCAGCAATATGCCAGTCAAGCCTGCAACCTGTCATCTGCAGTTGATCTTCACTGTTCTCTGCAGACATGCAGATCACCACGGGGAATGCCAAACTCTGTGTCTCTCTGTTCACACGTCCAGTCTGGTACTTTACATTCTGTCACGGACCTGATGTCAGAGAACGGACGTGCAGATGGAATAAAAAGGCAAGGCGTATTGCAAGGTCCAGTTGAGATGCACTTTTTATTTGCAGTACACATACATGCATACTGCTACTAAACTTACGTTGCCCTCTGATCATATAGCTTAAGTGCTGGAAATTTGTAAAGAAATTAGAGAGCTTAATGCAGGAACATAATTTCAGTCCAGCAGCCTATGAGATGAAGTCATTGAGACTCTCGTGGTTAGGTCAACTTAATGTTGTTGCTGTCTCCCTGGTGGTTTTGGCCCACCAACCTGTCTGGTTTAGAAGCAACACTCCAAAACTGAGGTTTGAAGTCCAAGATCTTATAAAACATTTTTTTTTTTTGCTTAAATGCCTATTGTGCATTATATACGTGGATTACGTGTAAAGGAACCCAGGGTTCTTAAAGATGTGGTTCACACTTTTAATGAATACATCTGAAGTGGTTCCTAGTAGGGCTGCTCAATTAATCGAATTTTAATCACAATTACGATCTGAGTTTTGAACGATTATTCAAACAAAACAAGCCGATTATTTGCTCCTCCCACTTGCGCTGCCCTGAGTTGCAAATGAAGCGCTCCTCACAGTGTTGCCAACTTGGCGACGTTGACGCTATTTCTAGCAGCTTTTCAGACCCCCTTCTTGACTCTTTAAATTTTAAAAGTACCTAGCGAACACCTCAGAAACATCTCTGGTAACCCTTAGCTACTTTCCGGATAACTGTCGTCGACATTTCCTGCAGGTTAGCTAAACAATCCGCCTGTGCTCTGTACCGTTCTTCAGGACATTAGGAAAGGGAATGATGTAGTGATGTGTCAGTCGCTAAAGAAACAGCTCTCGGAGCCGGCTCCTTGTTGGAGTAACCAAAGTGAGTGACACACACACCGCACCTGCGGACTCCTGAGCCACTAAAAACGGCTAAATGTGCACGTGCGGCGTGCTAAACACACGTGCAGCTTGCCCCTGATTGCTGTGAGACCGGGTTGGGGGGTGGGGGGTGCAGCTGTGGTTGGGACAATTATTACATTAACTGATGGACTTGTAAATAAATAGTTTATAAATAAGGTAGAAATAAGTTCCTCACGCTGATAACTAATAACTAAACTCTGTGAGGACACGGTGCTAGTGCACTCTCCTACAGCACCTTGACACGACTCAAATGTTATGCAACATTTTGTGAACATCAATTTATTTCCATTCATTTGTTATAAATGCCACTGTATAATTCTTGCTGTCAGTATTTGCAAGATATTGGTATTTGGGTCTGTATTGGTTAGACTTAAATGAGTTAAACCAAGGTCTATAGCCCTTGGGTCATAAACTATGAGCTATAAGTATATTGGTCGTTTTATGCTGGGAATCAGGAGTTATTTTAGTGATCATCTTGTTTCTTATTTATTTTTGTCATGATTGTGCCCTGAGCAATTTTATGACTGAATAAAAACAAATAAAATCAACATAAATTGAAAAATCGTCCTAAATAATCGAGATCTCATGTCTTCAGTCATAATAATCGTGATTATTGTTTTTGCCATAATCGAGCAGCCCTATTCCTAGTAGGGCTGCACGATATTAGGAAAACCTGCGATATTCGATAACAGTGCTTAATATTGCGATATCGATATTACTCACGATAAATGAACAAATACTAAAGTATGCAGTGTTGATGTCGTCTGGCGTGTGACGTCTGCTCTGGGTTCAAAGCAAACAAAACTAATGCATGAATTCCATTACAACATAACATTTTTATTGCAAAAATATGCAGCTGCACCTGCTACTGTATTAGCAGCAAAACAACAAACTGCATGCATGCAGTTTCTCAATGACTTTAAAACATCACCTCCACCATAAAACTTTTTCTGATGCTCCAAATACAGAAAAACATCCCTCACCAGGGTTTTTTGAATAAATAAAAATATCAGAAAATAAGTTTTAATGTTAAATAATAGTTAACATCACTTAAATGCAACAGCAAATTCTCTCATTGCTACTGAACATTTTCTCCACATATGTGGTTATGATATAAGGCTGTTGCTGTAATTGGGAAGTGAACTGTGCTGGGCCAAACTAGGAGAATATTAAGATTTTTTGAGGGAAAGAGAAAAACAATTGTCTACCTTTCAGAAGAGGAACTGGTAAAAAAAAAAAAAAAACTACATGGAAAATATGTGAAAACGTTTGGTTTTAACCCCAAATTGAACAAGTTTACCTAGATCTTAAAAAGCAGCTCAGATGATGAAACTGCAACTACGATTCTGATGACAAGCTAACAAATTGAACTAGCTCCTCTTAAGATAACCGGCTAGCAGAGCTTCTGACTGACAGTTTATGTGCAGCAGCAAATCAACTATCCTGATTAAGAAGGTTATAAAAGCTCATAAATGAAAAATCACTTTGATGTGTGGGGGAACTTTTCCAGGCCCTCTTTAGCAGGGTGGGACTGGGAGGAGAGTGCTGTATCCTTTTAGCTGGAAGCTAACCGGAGCCTGGGGCTAACACTAGCGACATGAAGGTGGGTTGGTTCACCGGCACGTGTCGGAGTCAGCCCAGTAAAAATGATTAACGACACCGAGCGGACTCACGTTCACGTTTGAAAGCAGCGCTGACTGCAGAAACCTCAGCACTAAGTGCGTTCGTTGCTCTGAGCCAGCATGACGAACAAGGGAATGGCGCTTGTAACTCTGTTTGGGTGTTGCTTTCCATCCTAAGGGTCTACGTAGGGGGTGGGCGTATTACGTGAACAGACCCATCTGATTGGCCGCTTATCAGAAGCGCTAAATTTGATTGG